ATTCAAATCTCTTGTTTTAGATTCATACGATAGAATAACAAAAATATAGTGAGTTAAATGTAAACCTATACAATAAAAGTATTATTCATATTTGTTTTTCCAGGTTCACATGATACAATATGTTCTCGTAAGTTCGATATTAACTAACTAAAACATTATTCATACCACGTTTTCAGGTTTTTGCAATATAACAAATTATGGTGAGTTCGACATTAATTAGTTAATAACAAACTAAATTCATACCTCTTCTTTTAGGCCCATGTAATAGAAAAAGAAATGGTGAGTTCGATTTAAACCTATAAACTACAAGAATTACTTCTAACTTTTCTTTTAGGTTCACATGATAAAACACTATTGGTGAGTTCGATATTACTTAATTAACAGAAAACATTTTTTATATCTTTCTTTTAGGTGTTTATGATACAAGAAATCTTCGTAAGTTCGGTATAAATTACTTAATAGGAAACAGTTTTGACATTTCTTGTTTCAGATTCATGTGAAAGAAGAAAACGCTGAGTTCGATTGAAACCTATAAACCAAAAGAGTTATGTCTATCTCTTAGTTTAGGTTCATATAATAAAATAAATCATGGTGAGTTCGATATGAATCAATTAATAGCAACTAATATTGATATCCCTTGTTTTAGCTTCATGTAATAGAAAAACAAAGAATGGTGATTTCAATTTAAACCTATAAACTAAAAGTTTTAAATATATCTCTTTTTTCCAGACACACATCATAAAATAAATATTGGTTAGTTGGGAATCGATTAATTAATTAACAGAAAAATTTTTTAATTCCTCTGTTTTACGATTTTTGTAATAAAACAAATAATGGCGAGTTCGATGTAAATTAATTAATAAAAGACAATACTCATTTTTCTTGTTTTAGATTCATGCGATAGAATTAGAGAATGGTAAGTTCGATATAAAGCTATAAATCAGGAATTATATTTATATCTCTCGTTTTCAGGTTTACATGATAAAAAGAGAGTTGGTGAATTCGGTACTAAATAGATAATATACAACATTATTAGTACTTTTTCTTACGTTTCTGCGAAACAATAAATTATCGGGAGTTCGATATAAATTACTTAATAGGAGGCAATATTGGTATTTCTTATTTTAGAGTCATGTGCTAGAAAAAAAGAGTGATGAGTTCGATTTAAATTTATAAATTTGAAGTTATATTTATACCACTTCTTTCCGGTTCACATGAGAAAATGAATACTAGTGAGTTCGGTATTTATTAAAGAATAGACAACATTATGCATATGTTTTTTTTAGGTTCTTGCAATACAATGAATCATGATGAGTTTGATGTAAATTACTTAATAGAGAAACAATATTGATGTTTCTTGTTTTAGATTCACGAGATGGAATAAAAGAATGGTGAATTCGATTTAAACTTATATACTAAATATGTAACTTATACCTCTTGTTTCAGGTTCACACGATGAAATAAGTACTGATGAGTTCGATAATAATTTATTAATATAAAATATTAGTCATATTTCTTTTTTAGGTGTTTCTGATAGAAGTAATGATGATGAGTTAAATATTAAATAACTAATGGACTACAATAGTGATACGCTCTGTTTTATATTCATTTAGCAGAGGAAAAAATGATAAGTGCGATGTATACCTATAAAGTAAAAGTATTGTTTATATATTTTTTTTAGGTTCGAATGATAAAATATGTGGTGTTAAGTTCGATATTATTCAGTTACGCAAATACATTATCCATATCTGTTTATTTGGTTTTTGCAAAATAATAATTAATGATGAGTTCGATATAAGTTAAGTAATAAGAATCAATATTCATTTCTCTTGTTTTAGATTCATGTGATATGGTATAGAATGGTGAGTTTGATTTAAATTTAGAAGTCAGAAACTATATTTGCCTCTTTTTCAGGGTCATATGAGTAAATGAATACAGGTAAGTTCGATATTGATTAATTAGTAGAAATTATTTTTCATATTTGTTTTTAGGTTATTTGCGATGCAATAAATTATAGTGAGTTCAATATAAATTAAGTAATAAGAAACAATACTCATTTCTCTTGTTTTAGATTCATGTGATATGGTATAAAATGGTGAGTTTGATTTAAATTTAGAAGTCAGAAATTATATTTATGCCTCTTTTTAGGTTCATATGAGTAAATGAATGCAGGTAAGTTCGATATTGATTAATGAGTAGAAATTATTTTTCATACCTATTTTTAGGTTTTTTGCCATGCAATAGATTATGGTGAGTTCAATATAAATTAAGTAATGAGAAACAATACTCATTTTTCTTGTTTTAGAATAATGCATAGAATAAAAAATGGTGAGTTCTATTTAAGTCTATAAACTTAAAGTATCATTTATATCTTGTTTTTTGAGATTCGTATGATAAAACGAATACAGGTAAGTTTGATATTAATTAATTAAGAGAAAAGAAAACATTATTCATATCTCTTTTTTAGGTTGTTGTGGTATGAAGATAATGGTGAGTTCGATATAATCTTACTAAGAAGAGAAAGCAGTGATTTCTGTTGTTTTAGATTCATGTGAGAAAGGAAGAAAAAAACTGGTAAGTTAAATTTAAACTTAGTTGTTAGATTTTATATGTGTGTCTCTTGTTTCAGCTTCAGATGATAAAAGAAATAATGATGATTTTAGTTCCAAACAATTAATGAGTACCATTATTCATGACGTTTGTTTTTCAGTCTTTTGCTACAGAATGAATCATGGTGAGTTTGATATACATGAATTAATTGAAAACAATGTTAATATCTCTTATTTTAGATTAGTGTGTCTGAATCAGAAAGGGTGGGTTTGATTGAGTTTCATAAATAAAATCATATATTTCTTGATTAGGTTTAATTAGTGGAGTACAGCTGTACAAGTTTGGTTTATTGGTATTAGTTGCAAAGAGATTTCATGTTGGTTGTCTTTGGTTCTTGTTGTCGGATAAATAATGGTGAGTTCAATTGCATACGAATGAGTGCTGATTTTCATTGTTATGTGTCGTTCTAGGTTGCATTGATATTAATCTTAATGCTGTGTTGAACTCAAAAATGTGAATAGAAATTCAAAATTATATGTACGATTCAAGTGGATCTTGGAAAACAAGTAATGGTGAGTTGTTTTTTGATTTTTCAATTCGTTATTATCCTTTTTTTCTGCTCTCAAGTCCTGTAGGTAACATTGCATGCATTGATCTGAAAAATCCAAGTTCTATCCATTAAAGTTATCTTTTACATCATCTGATACTTATTTTCTGCAATCAGCTGTATCCTATTGGAATATTGAGGTCATAATAGACAAAATTCGTCTAATGATTCGTTTGACGTCTCCTGTTACAGATGAGGATGAGTTTTCATGTGAGAATCCCCTGCCCTTTTTGAGTGAGTTATACTTGCACTACCCTATGAAGAAGTCGATGAATGTTCGTACTGTTGCCTGGTTATATAAGTTACATATCAGATGTTCGAAGCTTAGATGGAATCGTAAGCAGAATTAGCCTCTAATAAATCTTTTCTCTTTTGTTCTCGTTCGATTCTTGTAAAATGCTATCGTTCCATAGTTTTTTCCTGTGTCCTACCATTAGATGTGTCTTTACAACATGAGTTATGACGGAACTCAGAGGTATACTTGATGCAACTGTTCTGAGCTTCCGTTTTTGAGTAGAATTTCATATGTCACACAGGATCTCCCTTCTATTTTTCGAATCGAATTGTATTCTGCAAAATATTTGAAACGTCTGTTTCGATTTCAAGCGTTACTCTTGAGCATTTTAACATTCAGTTAGTCTCGATTCATGTCGTGATGTGCAGTATCCTATGTTTTATGAGCTTGAGACAGTTGAATTCATGCATGGTCGTACGCAGAGATCTCTTCCACCTTAAAACGTCTTAGAAAGCACTCTTGTTTACGTTTTAACAATGTAGAAAGGCAGCTAATTGCGACTGATATTCACGGATCCCAACTATGAGCTGAAGTCAATAAGGAATAGTAAATGTGAACCGGTTCTGAAGAGAAGAGGGTTTAAACATTAAAGAGTCTCAGCTTAGTTTAGAAGGTATAATGCTAACGTCCATTTTTTCTGATCATGATCTATTCTCCATTGCGGTCCCGACTATAAGTGTAAAATAGGAACTAAAACTAAATCTTAACTGTTTTTGGAAATGAACCATTTAAATGTTAGAGATTTACAGCGTAGTGGAATAAGAATCACCTTGACGTTCAGTTTGTCTGGACGTGATACGTTGCGAATCGCGGTTCCCGATTGTGAGTCAGAAATGATAGAAAATTGCTAATGTGAAATGATTTCAAGAAATATACCATTTAAACGTTGAGTTTTTCGGACGTAGCGAAGAAAAGGATCGTTTTAGCGTCCATTTTTACTGACCGTGACCGGTTGTCAATCGAGGTTCCCGACTGGCAGTCAGAAACGGT